TAATAACCGTGTTGATAACTTAGGACCAAATCGCAGAAGTTCTGTCGCAACGAGTACAACTTGACTGGTCTTTGTAATCGAGCATCGTGCCCTCTGGCTAACAGTCAATATGCCACCGTTCGAGAGGAAAATGGTTTGTGGTATTTTGACGCATTTTATTTACTATTCTCATTCAGAATTATGTTTTTTCTTGCCATATTCTTCGATGATATCTTGCACTTATAACATTTACGCTGAAATTTTCGGTATAAAAACATACTGAGTTAAATGATTTTCGGTACAATCGTCCTTACAAAGATGTCTAAACGTCACTGCTGCCTATAATGCTGTTGTCAGCCTTTACATTTGTTTGCATATTTTTGTGTTAATCGTACTGATATACTGATTTTTTCCTATACTGATTCAAGTATGCAACTTTCAGGCATTTGTTACTTATATATGAAGGTAATTGAGCGAAGTCACTATCCAAGACGATTATGGGAAAGAATAAAGCTATCGAGAAACATGACAAAAGCTGTCGAACAAATTGATGATGCTCTTGTTCACTGGTCAGAATATATAAGACATAAGTGCAAGGCAAGATTGATACGTATCCATCAATACCTGATTCGAATGCGCAAAATGAAACTCAGAGCAAGGTTATTTTATCTACTGATTGATTGATAATATGATGTTTTATTGATGAGTGGTGTCGTCTTTACATTTTCATAACTTCTTATCATCATCAGTTCATCGTTTTGATATATCTTCTGATTGCTTCATATGTTTTCTGGATAAGCTTCCAATTACGAAGTTCAGTTCAATCGCCCAGGTAATCTTGAAGAAATCAGTTCTTATTTAATATATCGTTACGAATGGAATTTCTTTTAGATGAAGTCTCAAATGGACTGATTACTCGTTCTTAAATAAAACTTTTCAGACAGCAAAAAATAGTTCCAATACAACGTAAGATCGAACGTCGTGAAGTACGCCGTGAGGAAAAAGCGCTGATAGCTGCAAAACTTGACACAGCAATCGAGAAAGAATTGTTGAATCGGTTGCAAGAAGGAACTTATGGAGACATCTATAACTTCAGGTTGGCTTTATCGTTTGGCATTTTTCAAGTTAAGTCCCATATGGTCCGAATTGATCTGATATGTTGGATGCTACGATTATTGACACATTTACGATATTATACTCATTATAATCGTTTTATTTTTTAGGCAAGAAGCTTTCAACAATGTTTTGGATCAAGAAGAAATGGAAACCGAAGAGGGTGAACGAGAAGTTGAGATTGAAGAAGAAGACGACGAAGTGAGTTTGATTCATTTGAACTGAGGTGTAATGTTTTGAATGTTCCGATTGTCGCAATGTGTTCAACGAATTCACCTCATGTGGATTTCGCAATGTATGAGCGCATCGTCACTGAACTAGACGGATGGATTGAATGAAACG